CAGTATATTCGACAGAACGAGAGGCATCTACTTCGGCTAGGCTAATGAACGGGCGAGCCACTGAAGCTGACAGCTTATTGAGAGAAATGTTGTGGTCCAGTGAAGGATCTTAGAGAAGCACACCTGTACTCTAAGGAGCGCTATATTCAGTCAAAATTGAGTGGACATGGGTTGCTAGCCAAGCCTCAGTGGAATACGTTAACACCGCCGAAGCTCGAAGGAAGCGAAGGATGAGAGACATCGAGAAGGTGCGACTAAACCAGGATGTACTTGACGTGTTTGGCAACAGCGCGGCATGAATTTTAATTGGTTTATTTGCATGTTAACAGGCTCCCTCACCCACCTCCCCCCTCCTCCACAGATGGCAAGGCCACCACCCCCTCTATGCTAGGCAGCTGGCATTAATGCCAACCCGATACTGAGCCAATGCGACAGTTGCTAAACATATGATGGCATTCCTGTGCAGGCGAGCCAGTCCAGGCAGAGTTTAGCCATCACATCCTGCTTACAGGCCCTTACAAAGTTTAATTAAACCAACTGTGGATGCGTTTGTCAGGGCAGGCTAGCTCAGTTGTAGACAGTTTCCAGTGTGTATCATATTACATATCCGCAAGTGTTTCTGATACAGAGTAAAATAAATACCAATATATACTGTATTGATTTTTTACCATAGTTCGGATGCTGTCTTGAGCCCCCAAACAGAGAAACACAGTTAGCCTCACCCTCAGTACAGATTAAACGCGAACAGCTTAGGAATAGCCCAAGAATACATGCTAATGTTGCTAACTGAATGAAAGCTGACAGCCTTCAAAATGAATGCTGTTCACTTTTTCATTTTTAGCCTCATTAGCATTACTGACTGAAATATCCCTTTAGATTATCCACAAAAAGCTTAACGCACAACATGTACACTGCTGTTTACAGTGTTGTTGCAGATTATTCCTCCACGCTAAAGCGTGTGTATAGAGTTCATATAGACCGTAATGTTACATTAACTCAGGTCACTTTCTGTAGCTACACAAAACATTTCAAATACAGAGACTCTCTGATTACTGGAGCGGGTTTGGCTTCATGGCTGAGTTTCTGAGCTTTGGCTATAAAGAACACACTAGAGTGTAAATCATGTTGAAACACTGTGTTTGTGAAAGTAGAAACACCTGCAGCCCCTGAAAACCTACATGCGCAGGACTGTGAAGAAGCTGCTGTGTGACAGTCTAACAGTCTAACATCTTACAGGCCAGAGATAATTAAAATAAAAAAAATAGAAAAATAATACCAAAAATATTAATTATAAAAAGCAACAATAATAATGTTTGTTTATTATTCATTTTATACATTATCATAAATATGCAATAATATTTATTATTACTTATATATATATATATATATATATATATATATATATATATATATATATATATAAACAAAAAAATAGAACTTAAGCAAAAAAATGCTAGAACTTAAATTAGTAAATTATTTATATTACCTTATTTTATGGTAATAGTGAAATTACAACAAAAATAATAGCTCTGTAATAATTCATTTTAATGTTGTTATTATGATTAATATACTATATAATACTACTACTAATACTAATAATAATAATAATAATAATAATAACAATAACAACAACAACACTAATACTAATGCTGTTGTTGTCTTTATTAATGCATTATTTGTCTTTTATTTTTTCTGTCTTTATTTATTTATTTATTTATTTTGTTATTATTATTATTATTATTATTATTATTATTATAACAGTGCAAATGATAGTAGTTAAGAAGTAAAATATTTATATTGTGTTATATCACCTTATTTTATGGTAATAGTGATATTACAGCAAAAAATTATAACACTGTAATAATTAAAATGTTGTTATTATGATCAAAAATAAATAATAATAATAATAATAATAATACAATTATTATAGTAATCCTGAGATCTCTAAAGTCCAGAAACAGAAAAACAGAAAAACTATCTTCCTCCTCTACCTGAATACTTTGTGCTTGCATTGCTTTGAACTACCAGAAATTAAGATAACAGTAAGCACTCTACCCCTCCCCCACACTACTGCTCAGACCCCTGCCTGATTGATGTATCTTATAGCGACGCTGGAGTAGGACCTGTTCTTCCTGCCAGTAACAAGGTGACCAGCCACCTCCTCAAGCCTCCCTCACTGATGGTGGCTGTAGAGAGGAGAAGCTGCTTTGAGGGAGCTGAAGATCTGCTCATCATAAAAGAGAGCAGAGCGAGGGGAGAGATGAGAGAGAGATAGAGGAGCAAGAGGGGGGGATGAGAGAGAGATAGAGATAGAGGAGTGTGAGAGGAGATGAGAGAGAGATAGAGATAGAGGAGCGTGAGGGGAGAGATGAGAGAGATAGAGATAGAGGAGTGTGAGGGGAGGGATGAGAGAGAGATAGAAATAGAGGAGCATGAAGGGAGAGATGAGAGAGAGGTAGAAATAGAGCAGAGCGAAGGGAGAGATGAGAGCGAGATAGAGATACCAGAGCGAGGGGAAGAGATGAGAGAGATAGAGACAGAAGAGCGTGAGGGGAGAGATGAGAGAGAGACAGAGATAGAGGAGCGTGAGAGGAGATATGAGAGAGATAGAGGAGCGTGAGGGGAGAGATGAGAGAGAGATAGAGATACCAGAGCGAGGGAAGATATGAGAGAGATAGAGACAGAAGAGCGAGGGGGAGAGATGAGAGAGAGGTAGAAATAGAGCAGAGCGAGGGGAGAGATGAGAGAGAGATAGAGATAGAAGAGTGTGAGGGGAGAGATGAGAGAGATAGAGACAGAGGAGCGTGAGAGGAGACATGAGAGAGATAAACACAGAGGAGCGTGAGGGGAGAGATGAGAGAGATAGAGACAGAGGAGCGTGAGGGGAGAGATGAGAGAGATAGAGACAGAGGAGAGTGAGGGGAGAGATGAGAGAGATAGAGACAGAGGAGCGTGAGGAGAGAGATGAGAGAGATAGAGACAGAGGAGCATGAGGGGAGAGATGAGAGAGATAGAGATAGAGGAGCTGTGAGGGCTTTGTTTACACGCTGATCTTTTCCATAAGTGAAGCGTTGGTTCTGCATGGCTGCCATTGTTTTCTCTCTGCTAAAGACCCCGTCAAAACAATTAATTTCCTCCTCTGCTTTAGTGAGCAATTAAACATGCTTCCCCCACGTAATTACCGCACACGCACCCAACACGGAGCGCAGGGGCCAGCAGTGCAGCAGCACATGTACCAGATTGATCGACAGTGCTCAGTCGCCAATAAGCCAGCTCAATAACATCAGCCAGATGTAAAGCTGGGGTGTGTTGACCTGATCTAGAGCACTCGCTATTAAGCAAAGCTTCCTTTAATGTGAGGGTGACTCAGAATACCTCAGACATGTTCTTCAGACTTGTAGGAAAAATGAAAAAACTCGTGCTTGTAAGTAATATGGTTTGGATATGAGGTTGGTTTGGTAGTAAATATCCTTTTGTGGCTTTTTGAAGACATTCAGCTGAATGCAGAAGGCATTTTGGGCGCTAGTCAAATTTTTTAAGTGAAAATAAGTGAACAGATCCTCTACGGAGAACACACGGCACATTTTATGCACAATTACTGTATATTTACTGTATTTATCTTACTGGGGAAAAAACAAAACACAAAATGTGTCCTGTGTTAAATTATGGCACATCCTATATGTTTTATTGTTCCGATATATTAAACTCAGCAAAATATCAACAAATAGAGATTGTGCACTTAAATATATAAACAAAATGCATATTTGAGTCTCTGTAGAGGACGTTTTAACTTTATTTAACTTATGCAGTAACTTTTGCACAGGCCAAATTATCATTATTTTTTTTTCCATTAGGTAAAATTCAACAAATAAACAGTAATTGTGCATTAAAATATGCAGACGTTAGAGGATGTGTTGACGTATTTTCACTTAGAAAACAAACAAAACATAATTTGACCGGGGCACTCAAACTTTTGCACACGACTGTATGAAGTGAACTTAACATGATGCTAGCACCCTACGACTTCAGAGGTTTAGAAAAATGCATATTTGAGGCTCCTTAGAGGATGTTTTAACTATTTTAACTTATTGTTATGCAGTAACTTTTGCACAGGCCAAATGATGTTTTATATTTTTTTTCCGTTATGTTAAATGTAACAAATGAACAGTAATTGTGCATTAAAATGTGCAGACGTTAGAGGATGTGTTGACTTATTTCCACGTAGAAAACAAACAAAACATAATTTGACCAGGGCGCTCAAACTTTTGCACACAACTGTATAAAGTGAACTTAGCATGATGGTAGCAATCTATGATTTCAGAGTTTTTGGAAAATGCATATTTGAGGCTCTGTAGATGATGTTTCAACTAATTTTCACTCAGAAAATCAAGAAAATTTGTAATTTGACCCAAACTTTTACGAACGACTGTAAATTAGCACACATAATTATTATTTTTTTTTCCATAAAATACTACTCTACTGCGCTGGACTGTGTCATTGACGATAAATAAAGCTAGTCAGATTTCAAACAGTAACATAGAATTTGCTGCAATGCTAGTGTTAGCTTGATTTCACACATCCAGTGTATCATAACAATACATTTATGGCATTTAACAGACGCTCTTATCCAGAGAGACTTTGGTCATTTTACACAGGTAGGTGAAGGTAGTGTTAGGAGTCTTGCCCAAGGACTCTTATTGGAATAGTGTGGGGTGCCTGCCCGGGTGGGGAATTGAACCCCATGCTACAGTGTAGAAGGCAGAAATGTTACCCACTGCACTATACCAACCACCACAATACAACATAAATATCCCTAAAAAATAATAATTTATCCAAATTTTGTGGGCATGTTACTGTTGTGTGATAGAATTTAGGTTGAATGGAATTTTCATCATTTTCTGTAAAATTTAGAATATCTGTCAAACCAACCTTGCAACAGTACAAAAGGATCAGTTTCTGTTGAAGCTCATGTTCTGACAGTGCACTCTTCACTCTTTCAGAGTATTAAAGTGAGCTGGCAGCCTCCCGCGGCCAACGCGCAGAACGGCTTCATCACGGGCTACAAAATCCGCTATCGTAAAACCGGACGGCGTGGCGAGCAGGAGGCCATCGAACCCAACAACCTCTGGTATCTCTTCACCGGTGAGTCTCTCTCTAGTCGCCTCCTTCCATCCATTTTTCAGTGCTCAGTACCTACTTGTCTTGGAGTAAGTCACTTCATTTTGGGGTTTTATGATAAGAGAGAAGTGCAGGGTATTAGATCCACTGCTTCTCGGTCTCTCTGCTGATTACGATCAGACCCTCCACTGTGGACCACCACCAAAGCCTTTCAAAGCACTTCAAATGCATGAAAAAGATGTCGATTTTTATTTTTCTTCATTGTGTGAGCCCAGCAGCTGCCCTTTACACTGCGTGCACATTTCACAATGAATGGACTGATAGAAAAGATTTTACATGAACTTATATCACGCGTGAAGAAGGTTTTTTAGACAGCATCAATATGTAAGTTAGCTTATTGATATTTGAACTATTGTCCGAAAGTTTGGCATCAATTATCAATAATGTAAAGCCATTATTTGTTGAAGATAAATGCACAGCAATTTGCAAAGGATTGAATGCAACCAGCCGAATTATGGTTTGTTGACTTTCAAAGTGAAAATAAGTCAATACATCCTCTAACTTCTGCGCATTTTAATTCATAATCATTGTTTATTTGCTGAATTTAACATATTAGAAAAAAACATACATTATAAAATGATCAGTAATCTTGCACAGGCCACATTTTATGTTTTTTCTATTATGTTAAATTCAACAAATAAACAGTAACATGCCCTTTTCACATTTCCACATTTTTTCTGCAGTAAGTAGTCGTTGCAGGCTAACTCTGCTTCCGCTAAAGCAATAACAATAGCAGCAACGATGAGTAGAGTGTGTACAGCTCACTCCAGTATTAGAGCTTGAAGCAAAAACAGCCTCACCTCAGTTTAGTGGTCTGTCAGCTGATGATGCGCAGAGAAAAACGAGTTTAGACAGTTAATAAAGGAATAAACTTTGTCATACGGAGTAAAAGAACCTCTGTGTCTGCATTTCACTGCTGACTAACGTTACACTGAATGCAGTTTGTGGTTTAAAGTTGCAGCTACAGCCGCTTTCAGAGGAACAGTTTTCATTTTCTCCCTCAAAGCTGTCAGTATCTGAGAGAGCGAGAGCTCGGCGGGGAGTAGATGTTCATTCACTGGAGCCAGTGTTTGTGAAAACCGTCTACAGTGGCCTACAGACCATGATGACCCGGCGCGCCCCCTGCTGGCATGTGTGCATGTTCAGCTTTTTGCCAACTACTTTTTTGACAGCAAGCTACTTCATCATCTCCAGCTAACATGGCTAATCTAGCATTTTGATTATAGTTATTTTCACCTCCATCGGTTTATCACTCTGTAGACGTGAGCTGACCTTACTATGCTCTGATAGCTGTAAAAGAGTTTTTCCACAAATCATTTATATCCTCTATTTAGTCTGGACTCCCACATTGTTGTGTGTTTGGTTCTCCAGCAGTTCTGGACACGTCCTCCACTTTCAATCTTGGCAACTACGACAAAGATCAAGTGGCTCACCTTTCTGTGGTGGCTGAAATGATACCAGCGCCTGTATTTCTGAGGTTAATAACTTTTCATAAGGCAATAGCAGAATTTGTTTTGTGCAGCAGCTACGCACTTCTGGCCTATTTTGCATTAAAATGTGCAGACATTACAGAACGTGTTGACTATTCACTCTGAAAAAATCAATAAAACGTCATTTGCCTGGGGTGCCAAAACTTTTGCACAGTGAATTTAGCATGCTGCTAGCACTCAGCAACTTCAGAGGTTTGGAGTAATTAGTAGGAAGCTGGAAGAACATGAAGAAATGTTGGATCTAGTGCCTAGAATGATTTCACAGTAACTGGGAAAACTATAGTATATCACTGTTGTCGGAAGAAAACCTTTTATCTCCATTTTTGACGTTTTTCTGTTTTTGAGATAATTTGAAAAAGCCTCTTACCCTTTGCATTGTATGTAAATTTCAGGATGAATGGGCCAAAAGAAACGGCCTGAAATGACTTGGAAAAAAGTCTGGTTCCATTGACTTACATTAAAAGTAAAGTAGGTTTTTTCCTTCTCCTGTAAAGTTACCATTTTGGAGATACGAGGTTTTCTTCCAACAATAGCGATATTTAGAATTAAGTTAGAATCCAGTTAATCCAGAATATAATCCAGAATACCTTGTATTTTACAAGTGCTAATCAAACCTCAAGGCAGACAAGTTGACAGAAAATACATATTTGTATAAATATTGAACACATTTTATTGTCTATAGTTCAAATTATTCCCGACTACACTGTATAAGTTATTACTGAATATTAAAATGACAGGTGGTTGCAAACTTTTGGACAGAATTAGCATACAGACAGTCCTTTGTTAGCAGCAGCAGTTCTGCACATCGCTAAGACTTACAGATCGTTAGAGAATTCTGAATCTCAGAGTACATCAGGAATTCATGCCGCTGTATCACAGCTGCGCTAAAGGGATGTATTATTTATATGACGACGTGATGTCGTGCCAGCAGCTTGGACAGCAGCTTAACCACAGCTGAGAGAGACGCTAGTTGTGGTTAGAGTAAGTCAACGTCCAAAGACCCAAACATCGCTAGCATTAAGAGTGGAAAGGCCTGCCTCTTAGAACGTTATGCGGATGGAGAGAAGACTTTGTCTTTTGAAAGCTAACAACAAAAAGCTGCCTTGTTTTTAAGTTTCATGGATGATGAGAGCGAAACAGAAAGAAATCCAGACACCAAGTCGATTAGCTGCAGACTAGCTGCTTTCAGTCTGATTGAGTCACTTCATTTGGTATTTTTATATGTATTCTATGGAGCCCAAACCTGCGTTAGCATTAGCAACGTTAAGCTTCACAGTTGGCTACATTTGTGTAAAGTCTAGGTTTAAGTCTAAACACGACAGCCAGAGGTTTCACAAAGAGCAACAAATGAACTGTTCATTCATTTTTTGTTGTTTGGTAATATTAATATGTTTTCAAGTGGCTGTGTGGAGTTGTTGGTATGCTGGTCAGTACAAGTTGATATGCTGGTCACCACTATAACCAGCAAATGCTGTGTTTTGGATGCTGGTATTCTGGTCAGTAGATGTTGGTATGCTGGTAAGCAGTAAAACCAGCAAATGTTGTGTTTTGGATGATGGTTTTCTGGTCAGTAGCAATAGAAGTGATACGCTGGTCACCAATGAAACCAGTATATGTTTTGTTTTGGATGCTGGTATGCTGGTCAGTACAAGTTGATTTGCTGGTCACCAGTCAAACCAGCATATGCTATGTTTTGGATGGCGGTCTGCAGGTCAGTACAAATTGATATGCTGGTAAGCAGTAAAACCAGCAAATGTTGTGTTTTGGATGCTGGTTTTCTGGTCAGTAGCAATAGAAGTGATACGCTGGTCACCAATGAAACCAGTATATGTTTTGTTTTGGATGCTGGTATGCTGGTCAGTACAAGTTGATTTGCTGGTCACCAGTCAAACCAGCATATGCTGTGTTTTGGATGGCGGTCTGCAGGTCAGTACAAATTGATATGCTGGTAAGCAGTAAAACCAGCAAATGTTGTGTTTTGGATGCTGGTTTTCTGGTCAGTAGCAATAGAAGTGATATGCTGGTCACCAGTGAAAACAGCATATGTTTTGTTTCGGGTGCTGGTAAGCTGGTCAGTACAAGTTGATATGCTGGTCACCAGTCAAACCAGCATATGCTGTGTTTTGGATGCTGATATGCCGGTCAGTAGATGTTGATAATACTGGTAATATGGGCTAGCCTTAGCAGCACTGCTTTGGAGCTAGCCACGTCTGTAGTAAGGAAAGTGAAATCCAGCCAAACTGAGCTTTTGCAAAGAGCAATAAATGCACTGTCTTTGTATTTTGTTGCTTACTAACATTAATGTTGTCCAGTGATTACATGAAGTTTGGTACCTGAGCCCAAAACTGTGCTAGCATTAGCATTAGCAATAGCAATCCTTTTAGCTATTTATATGTGAAGTCGTCTTGAAGTATTCTTTCAGTTTCCTTAACAGAAACCAGTTCTGACAGGTGTTTTAGAGCTTTAGGTGGCTAAATCCAGCCTGACTCAAACCCCCTTTGAACAGAAAAGCGTTTAATAAAGACAACATTATTTGATAACACAGGAATTTTCTCTCAATTCTCTTGAAGGTTGTACTTCAGCGATAAGCACAAGTTATCATTTTTTATCATTAGCATTCAAGCAAAACTGAAGGAGGTTTTTCACTCAGATGAGGCAGCCTGCAGAAACTGAGAAAGATAAAAGCTTTTTAGGGGGGAATTATCACAGCTGAAGAAAATTCACAGGCTCTTGTATCAGTGAAGGGCAATAAAGCCTTGAGGCCCAAAGGCTCCCCTGCAGAATGGAATAAAAAATTTTCCCACACATGCAACTGAATGCAAGTTTGAAAACGTATGCATGCGAGGACTGAACAAAATTGTTTGAGATAAATATTGCAATATTTGAAAAAAAATGAAAAAGGAATGAATATCTACCCAGATAAACTATTCCCAAATAGTTATTTTCCGCAAGCTAAATGCAGGCCATGGAATCAGGGGGTCATTTACTGGGGCAGTCAGAGTAGGAGCCTGGCCGCTTCCTATTTCCCTCGTTATATCAAAAACAGGACTGCAGAACAGCAGAGGGCGAGTCCTCAATGAATGGGAGTGAATGGAGCTCAATGGATAAAAACGAAAAATCAAAATAGCTTCTAATCACTCGCCCAGAACTTTACTCTGGTGCCAGGCTTGGCTGATCATCAGTGATTTGGTCATAGTGCCATGTTTTGGTTGGGGACTCATTATTATGTTATATTACATCATATTATTGCTATATATTGTCAGTGTCAGAAGACAAGATTGTATCCCTGAAAAAAAAGTAATGTTTAATGGAAGTAACGACAGTCTCTATTGGTCCATTCATCATGAAAGGTTCACGCAATGTGAAGGGCAGCTGGTGTTTTTTTAGATGTTGTGTTTTGTCCTGATTGCAGCAGTAAAACATAGTAAAGATCAGCTTGTAATATTTCTTTCCAAAATTATTTGTGTTTGTTGGATCTTGTAAACACTTTGTTCCTGCAAACTGTCTGCGATTGGCCAGGATGCTCAATTTGTATGCCTTTTACATCCAGATGCATAGATCTAAACCACTGTTTCTATCTCTGGTAACGCTGGGCTACATACGTCCAGAGAGGCCATGAGGTAGTTGTAACAAAGTTGTTATCTTGAAATAATGAGTTAATTATCTTGTGATCTTGGCATAAAGCTGTATCTTGAAATATTGAGTTAATTATCTTGTGATCTTGAGATAACAAAGTTGTCATCTTGAAATAACGAGTTAATTGTCTTCTTATCTCCGAAAAACAAAGTTGTTATCTTGAAATAATGAGTTAATTGTCTTGTTATCTTGAGATAAAGTTGTTATCTTGAAATAACAAGTAAATTATTCTATCTTGAAATAATGTGCTCATTTTCTTGTTATCTCGAGATAAAAGTTTTATCTTGAAATAACAAGTTATCTTGTTATCTCGAGATAACACAGTTGTCTTAAAATAATAAGTTCATCATCTTGTGAAGTTGTTGTCTTGAAATAATAAGTTCATTATCTTGTGATCTCAAGATAACAAAGTTGTTATCTTGAGATCACAATAAAATTAACTAGTTATCTCAAGATAACAATCCGGAAAGTTCTAGCAACAGCTCATGGCCTCTCCGGACCTCCGTATTGGGCTGAACTGGTTTGAGTGTCCTGAGTGTGTTTCTGTTTGATGTGTCTTCCCTTCATTGTTTATTTGTTTCTTTGCACTATAAGCCTCTCTTCCCATATATGACGTCCCTTTATCCCTATAAAACCCTTAAAGGATGAAAGAAACAATTCCGTGTGAAAGAGAACGACAAAAAGATGATCCAGCAACATGCAGTAGTTTGTTGACATGTAATTTTTGCCAAGGTATCACTTTCTAATAGCTTAGAACCCGTTTTTTTATTCCAGTCCATCGTAACGCTGTCGGTATAATCCATGTGGAAGGTTAGCGCTCGGCTGTCATTTGATCTTCTCTCAGCCAGAATTCCATGCATCTTAAGGAGGTCAGGCACACAGCATACAGACACAAACAGGATTTGTTGTCTTAGCCGTAGCCGCGAGGCAGCGAGAGAGGCCAGCGTCTCTGACAGACACGAGCTCATTCTGATGCGCCGGTGTTTATTTGAATAGGGATTTCTGAATTTGGATGAATATAATATTCATTTCCATTATTCCCTTGATGATATCTTGCTAAGTTTCCATTTCCGAAGGGATTCATTTCACGGTGGCGTTCGCGTGCGCTATGCTAATTCCTGACACTCTGGGGTATTCAGAGACGAGCGTGCCCCGCCGGAATAATTGCTGTTTTGTATCTGAGTCGATGATGGAAATGCACGGTGATCTGTCGAGATGAGGCCGCGAGACCTTGTTTACCTTCCCGCCTTGAATGATGGTGTTTACTAATTACAATCCCGAATGCTAATCTCTCGCGCTAGCTTCGTTATCTCTTCGTCATCCATTTTCTCTTCTTCCTCTCGCTGTCTCGCTCTCTCTTTCTCGCTCTCTTGCTCTCTCTCTTTATCTCTTTTTATCCATCCTTCTTTCTCTTTTTTCTTTCTCTCTCTCTCTCTCTCTCCCTCGCTCACTGCCTTTCTCTCTCGATCTCTCTCTCTCTTTTCCTTTTCATCCATCATTCTCTCTTTTTTCTTTCTGATTCTCTCTCTTTCTCCTTGTTCTTTCTTTCTCTTTCATGCTGCTTCTTCTTTCTTTTCACTCTCTCTTTACACCTTTCTTTTTCCTTCTCCCTTTCTCTCTGTTTTTCCTCTCTTTTCCTCTCTTTCTCTCACTCCCTTCTCTTTCTCACTCGCTCTCTTTTTTATCCCTCTTTTGCTCTCTCTTTATCTTTTTTCTCTTTCCGTCTTTCTCTCTCTCTTTCTCCTCTTTACATCTTCTTTCTCTCTCGTTCTCTCTTTCTTGCTCTCTTACTCTCTCTATCTCTTTTTATCCATCCTTCTTTGTCGTTTTTCTCTGTCTCTTACACTCTCTCACTTTCTCTCTCTCTTTACCCTCTTTTGCTTTCTCATCTCTTTTTTCTCTCTCTCTCACTTTTTGTCTCTTTCTCTTTCTCTTTTTCTTCCACATTCTCTCTCATTCTTTCTCCCTCTCTTTGCCCCGTCTCTCTCTTTCCTTCTCTTTCTTTATTTCTCTCTCATGCTGCCTTTTTCTTGCTTTCTCACTCTCTCTTTATTGCTCTCTTATCTCTTTCTATTCCTTGTTTTTTCGTTCTTTTTTTCTTTCCCTCTCTCTCTTTCTCGCTCTTTTGTTCTCCCTCTTTATCTCTCCCTCTCTTCACCATCTCTCTGTCTCTCTCTCGTTCACAGGGCTGGAAAAAGGCAGCCAGTACAGCTTCCAAGTGGCGGCCATGACAGTCAATGGCACGGGTCCGAGCAGTGAATGGTTCACAGCCGAAACCCCAGAAAACGACCTCGATGGTGAGTGAGATTAAATAAACACACACAAAACACATCCCGGTTTCCCGCTTTAGCATCCCAGACGTTCCCGCTAACTCCCGGAGGCTACGCAAAAACCCATTAGCAGAACATACATTAGCCCCTCCCCCACCCCCTCAGCACATGTAAGATGATTAAATATTTACACTGGAATGGTCGACCCGATGTGTTGATGTAGTACTTCAGCAATGTGTGCATTTCAACTGGCAAATGAGCCTAGCCTAGCGGTGCGGACGCTGGCCGGCCGCTTTCAGCCCCCGCCTAAGAGCGAGCCGAGCTTTCATACTGATCACAAAGCAGCTGTTCTGGGCTGCTTCCAATTCCCCTTCATCTTCCAGGGCCCTTTTGGACGCCTCCGCTGCCAATCTGTTCTCATAAGTGTGTTAGCAAGCGCGAGCGATGCCAGGGCTGTTCCAGAGACCAGTCGAGAGCGACGTGTCGAGTAAGAGTGAAACGGCTATGAGTAACTGAGTCTAAAACGCTAACAGAAGCCTTTTGGCTCATGCCAGAGGCCACACAGATGATTTTGATTGCATACATCAGTAGTCATCTGCAGGGACGGATTAGCTGGAGCTTGGGCGACACTTATTTTACAAACCTATCCCATTGGAATATCATGTGTCAGGCTTGACAAAGTGAAGACACCGTGTTTTATGGGTGAGAGGCCATCGTGGTAATGATAGTCAGTCTAGGCTGGTCCAGAATAGTTGAATGAATCTTCCTCTCCTACTTTCTTTCCTTGATTTTGGCTGATCTGTAGCCGGCTTACATGAGAATCTGCAGGTCTGCCTTTGGCATGCCCCTGTCCCCCGGGCCCCAATGATGGCCACGAGAGCTGGCAGGAAGGCGGGGCCCAAACTCAGAGTTAGGACGAACCCCCTGCGAGGATGGCAGGGAGAGGAGAGCAGCGAGTGAGTGAGGGGTGGCACGACGGTCCCGAGCCCCGCCTCCTGGGTGCCACCTCCGATCCGATGAGCACATGCCATACTGCCATTTCAAAGATCAGAGCAAAATCAATCCAGATAGAAAAGGAGAATTATTCAGTTATTTGGACACAACAGCATGTAGGAAGCATCACAGAGAGAGTGTGGATAGACATTAAGCTCAAGCCCATTTTATACATGTAATTATGTAGATTTAAGGCAATACAACTGTCAGCATCTAAGCTAGAATCAGCTATTCCCAAATGCCTCTTGGGCCCTAGAATGTAACTGCTGCGCCATTTAAGGTAGAGCAGAAAATTCCACCTTAAGAGTCTTAGCTTCAAATTTAAGGTGAGGCATGCGTTGATACTATTACTGTCTATCAGCAACCCTAATGATTTACATTTATGGTATTTGGCAGACGATGTCATCCAGAGTGACTTACAATTTGATCGTTTTACACAGGTAGGTGAAGGTCATGTTAGAAATCTTGCCCAAGGACTCTTATTATGTGGTTGGAATAGTGTAGTGGGTAACACCTCTGCTTTTTACTCTGTAGACTGGGGTTCAATCCCCTGTCTGGGTAAGCACCCTATACTATACCAACAAGAGTCCTTGGGCAAGACTCCTAACACTACCTTCACCTACCTGTGTAAAAAATGATCAAATTGTAAGTCGCTCTAGTTGCCCATTTTGATGTCATTTCACCTCAGCCAAGATTTTTTATGCTGACTTGAAAATAATCTATGTAGGTTTGTGTCAGTTGTCAAGAAAGTAAAGAAATATGTAAAAAAACAAAGTCCTCCAAATGATTAAAGTATATATTTTAAGTATTGGCATCTTCTTCTGCCAAAAAAAGTAGTTCCACTAAATGACATGTAAAATGATCACTGCTATTTGCGAGCCTTCGGTGGTCAGTGGTCTGGAAAAAAAAGAAAATGCTGTAATCAGATTAAACAACACTGAATGCTTTTCAAGCCATCAGACCGTGTGGTCAGAACTGACTGTTGTACTTTGTGCCCGCAAAATGTCTTTGTTCTCTCCAGAAACTCAAGTCCCGAACCAGCCGAGCTCTCTGCATGTCCGTCCGCTCCCCAACAGCATCATCATGAGCTGGACACCCCCACTGAACCCCAACATCCTGGTCAGGGGCTACATCATTGGGTATGGGGTTGGCAGCCCTTACGCTGAGACGGTTCGAGTGGACAGTAAGCAGCGATACTACTCTATTGAAAACTTGGGTAAGTGGTCACAACAATTGCTTTCACTAAACAAAAACCTCAATAAGCTTAAAGGCTTTGTTCACTGTTTTTGGGGTTTAAAAACGGAATAACATCAGATCACAATGACTGGACAGGGCTACATTTTTGCTGACCAGCTTTCTTGCCTCTCCAAGGCATTATTTCTCTTCACTTAAGCTAATACGTTCATTTAGCCCTTAAAGGGCCTTTCTAGTCTAACACTAGAGCTTCATATGTTGCTTATTATGTATTATTATGAATGTTTATTATGCAGTTTTCTGTAGTACAGTATCAAAATTCATGATTTTATATCATTTTCATATTTGTGTTCATTGGTGTTCTTCTCAGAAATACAGGACTCTGTCTACAATATCCACCATTCACTATGTAAATATGTCAAACAATCATTGAGAATCCCTGTGGTGACTGCTAGCCAGCTACTGACCAATAGGCTAATAAATACAACCATGCTATCATTAGCATTATTCTTATCTATATCTATATCATCTACATTCCCACACAAAAATGGGCACTTTCAGGCAGAGAAAAGTCAAAATGAAAGTATATAAATAACTGATCACTTTGCTAACTTTAGTTTTTAGCTTGTCTTCCTTATCTGATGAGCCATTCCTGTTGTTTGAGCAAACTTCTTCATTGTTAACGATAATTTGAAGACAGTTACTACAGTTATATGGTTATAAGATTAGCCACCTAGCAGTATTGTTTAGCTACCTGCTTTCCTTCTACATTCACCAGCTAACACAAGAAAAATAAAAGCATTTAAAAACTAGTCTTTAATCTGGAAAATCCCACTCTAGAAACTACTTCAGTGCTCTTGTAGGATGCGAGTAGAGGTGTTTACAACAGGTATATTGATGATTACAATCATTGAGAATCCCTGTAGTGCCAACCAATCCTGACTGCTAGCCAGCTACTGACCTATAGGCTCATAAATACAACCATGCTAGCAGTAACATTGTTCTTACTTCAGTTGCAAGTAGTAAATAATAAAGAAAACAGCATCTTCATCTATATTTAACACAAAAAGGGCACTTTCAGCCAGAGAAAAGCAGCCGAAGTTAAAGTATATAAATAACCGATCGCTTTGCTAACTTCAGGTTTTAGCTTGTCTTTCTCATCTGACGAGCCATTCCTGTTGTTTGAGTAATCATCTTCATTGTTAATGATGATTTGAAGACAGTTATTACAGTTATATGGTTATAATAAGATTCATCACCCAGCAGTATCGTTTAGCTACCTGCTTTCCTTCTACATTCGCCAGCTAACACAAGAAAAATAAGACGCTGCTGTTGGAAGAAAACCTTGTATCTCCATTTTTCAGTTTTTGACATAATGTGAAAATACCTGTTGTCCTTTACATTGTGTGTAAATTTCATGATCAGTGAACTAATAGAAATGACCCAAAATGGCTTGGAAAAAAGTCTGGTTCCATTGACTTCCATTAAAAGTAGAGTATGTTTTTACCTTCTCCTGTAAAGTTACCATTTTGGACATATGAGATTCTGGTCTGACAGCAGAAAAAAACCTTTAAAAAACAGTCTTTAAACTGGAAAATCTCACTCTAGAACTACTGCGGTGCCCTTGCAGGATGCGAGTAGACATGTTTACAAGAGATATAGTGATGGTTAGGTTTTTCATATTGTCCAGTCTCCCTTTTAGATTGTGTTGAAACAGACAGCCAGTGTTGGACTGAATTGCAATGCTAGTAGATCCGATTTATCCGATTTATTATAGGCTTAGGTTTAATCTGGGTCTGGGAAATGGGCCAAAAGTCTCCTAAGTCAGTCCTTACTGCTGTAAAACACATACATAGCTTTATATAGGTAGCTATACACATTCGATAGACAGTATTATTAATATGTCTGCTGTTTTCCTGTTTCCCATCTGCTATTATTAAAAGTCTCTAACAGGTTAAAAAGTAAAGTAGTGAAAAGATTTGAAATGAAAACCACACTGGATGTGTTGTTACAAGGTTGAGTAGAAGAAGAAGACAGTAATTTGTGAAGTGACTGTTTGGCGGTTGGGCAACTGTCGGACCCTATTGAGAGCGTAATCTGTAAGGGCTTTGTGTTGGGATTGAGCGGCCGTGCCACGACTTCTTTTGTGTTCGAGACTAACCTAGAGGGCTGCATTGGACCTAAAGCAGCGTACTGGACTGGAGGGGCTGTATTGGACGAAACTGAATGGCTGCTCAAGGCTAATTTACACAGCACACACACTCACTGCTCACAGGAGGCTAATGGGAAATGTCTGGGCTGACTTTATCTCTGCCTGCCAGACCGTGCATGTGTGTGTGTGTGTGTGTGTGTGTGTGTGTGTGTGTGTGGTACAGTCTGAGGAAATAGGTTTGTCTCTGCTAACTAATAGGCATGTTCAGTGCTGGCTGTGAATACAATTGTCCAAAATGCGCAACGTCCACTTTGAGGTCAGTCAGGAGGCTCAAAAAGACTGTGTTTTTGGAGGCAGACTTGATACTAAGCAGTCTAATATAGTCCATGTCAGTGGTCTCAACACAAATTACCTGGGACTACTGGCTTGGTGGTCTCCAAGGTGGACAAGTTGAATAAAATGAAGGGGGAAAAGGTGTTTCATTCTTTTTTAAGCATAAATTACTATTTAAAGAATGAATAACTAAACAAAACTGATGTTAATTTTTCCGAAAATGAATATTGACCGTTTTTTTTTACCGTTTTACTGTTTTTAGTGAGGTCAAAGAAAGTGTGCTTACTTTGAGTGTTATTCTTTTGACCCATTAAGTGTCTGTGATGTTCTGGAATAATATGCTGTTTGTGGCTGTCAGTACAAACAAATGAAGATGAAATTAATGCAAGAGCAGCAGTGCTGCAAGCATAAATGGTGCACAGCTTCAAACAACAACATGTAAATGTGACTCCTTAAAAAAGCCCAGTTGTTAGAATTGAAATCTGCCCATAAATTGCAACCGAATGATGAACTGCCAGTTGAACATCACTGTTTGTTCCTAACAGACTCACTTTAACTAGTTTACACATTAGATTCTCTTTATAACTGGATTCGGCCCTCACCAGCAGGCTGAGGTCAACAGAAAACTAACCAGCTAACAAGCTAACACTACTCTAATACAAACTTCAAGTTCAAGCCTTTAAATAAAGCATTGCTCAGACATACAGGAATGCCTGTTACAAGCTTAAAATGTCCATATTTAACCTAGAGATGAGATAAAACTTGTATAATGCACTGAGCTAACGCTGCTAGCTTGACGCTAACATAGCTGTCTACCGTGGTGAAAATACAAGGAGCATTACTGAAGCGCTGGCTTATAAAACAGGCTTAATAATCCATTCATAAATGAATTCTGGCAGTTATCTGACTAAAGTGGATGTAAACAGCATACTCTGATTTCTTAGATTAGATTAGAAATCATAATAAATCTCATAAAGAGAGCTGGATTTTTAGCTTTTAGCTTTTGTCAGTGCATGTGTACCCTTACTCTGATTTCTTTCATTTTCCTCAGTCTGGGCATGTGCAAGAACAGAGCGGTGTCCCAGAATTAGCAAGTAAAGTTTATCACAGCACTCACCAAAACACTTATGGAGCGATGCTGAAACAACTACATGCTTGATAAAGTATAGAATTTAACTATTCTTCATCTTTTACATGATTTATATTAATATTTTTCGTTAAAGTGACTCGGTATTTAAAAAAAAGCTGTGGCATGACGATGAATGTTACGTTACGTTTACATCACGTCTTCTTCTGTGGGTTTATTGGCTGGTTGCAAAGCAGAAATCTGATTACTGCCTGACTCATGTAGACCCAGAGTTTCCCCATTATCTGATTACCCAAGTGCATGTAAACGCGTTGATCAGATTACAGACAAAATCTGATTTTCTGCAGCTATCGGATTATTAGGTGCATGTAAACACTCACTGCTGTGTAGTGCCATTGATTTATCTCTACCTGTACCTGAATCTCAGTGGAAACACAATTAAAAGGTTTAAATAAAATGACTATTATTGATATTTTCACTTATTACCACATTTCTATCATGTGAGGATGTTATAAGCGTTTAACGTAAACATCTGTTAATGCTTCACCAGATGTTCTATCCATAAATTGCTCACAGGCTCATCGGGCACAAGAATAAGATGAGTGTACTCTCTATATCTTTCCACATGTAGACAAAAACAACTTGGACACAGGGGATAAAATGACAACAGGTCCTCAGCCGGTCACTGTGTGAGGTGTGTGGACGCTCTTAAGTCTGAGAGCAAATGTAAAATCCATTTACATCTTTCATTTCAAATGTAAACACTGCAAAAAAGAGAGAGAGAGAGAAGGAATGTGTGAGGAAGTGAGTGTGTGTACACATGTTTGTGTGTATGTGAGTGCCAGGTTGTGTGTGTGTGTGTGTGTGTGTGTGTGTGCATGTCTGGCTTCGACTAAGCTTTTAAGACCGCAAATAAAGGCAATAAACGATTGGGGCTTATCTCTGCACAGACTGCAGCTTGTCTGAGTTTATATTAGATCTGCCTTATTGTTAATTTAGGTTCCGCTGTACTTCGCACGTGACCTTTCACTGACCCCTGCTAAAGATGTGATTAGGGATAATACGGCACGGTTTTTCCTTTTTCTACTGCGAGACCTTTCAGTAACTGTGAGAAACACTGCAGAACTTTCATGTCGGTCCATGTTAATTTATTTTCACTTAGAAAATCAGCAGAGCGTAATTTCACCAGGGGTGCCCTTACTTTAGTGTCATGATATTTTATGATGAAGTGTAAAACAGTATGGCTTACACACTTCAAATGTCCCTGTTTCAGTCAGAAGTTGTGTCAAACCCAGGCTGAATCCCAAACAGCTCTGTACTCCCTAAACAGTGTTCTAGCTATGGAAGTTTAGAGGTTCTAGCATCTACAGCCAAACAGTGCATCATGTATCGAGTGTGGATGTGTCTGAGTCCCAAATGACTGTTTATTAGTTGTATTTTGCTCTGTTGG